AATATAAATTTATGAGCCACATCTAGTTCAACTTGAGATAATTTAGTAGGAAGTGTAACAAGTCCAAATGGGCGAACAGTTAGTGAGAAAACCACCAGCTCCTCTGCCTTATCCTGATTATAGTCATAGTTGCATCTCTTATGGGTGAATTTTGTTTCAATGCCATGGAGATATTTGGACATGAATGTTAGGCAGGGCGGATTTAAAGGGGGGGCACGGGCCCCCACTGCCCCCCTTAAATTTCTATAATACTCTTATAATTTTGACATAATTTTAGTGGTGCCCCCAGAATTTTTTTTAAAAAAATATGAAAGAATGGGTCACAAAATTTATATTATTCACTTTCCTCCTCTAAGGACCAAATACCAATTATATCAGTCATTACTTTTGGTCCCCACTCCCCAAGTTCCCTTTACTCCTGTGGTCCCCCATTTCACTTCACAACCCACGACTCCTCTTCTTCCACATCCAACTAACTACTCTTTCTTTTTATTACTTCATCCAATCATCATTAATCATTTACTTCCTTTGTCCCCCACTCCCCAATTTTCCTTTCCTCTACTGACTCTTAGTTGTCCCCACTGAAAATGGTCTCTCCCATCAAATAGTCCAATCCTGGTTTTCTGTCATGAAAATGGTGTTGTTGACTTCTTCACGCAGTCACGCAGTGTTCCATTAAAGGAGTAGGCTTTTTGAAAACCAGGACCTGCTTTCTTCAGTTCAACTGCAAGAAACCAGTCCTTGAAGCTGACTTCTTTCCAATTAAATAACGTGATACGGGGCACAAAAGAAGTAAAGGGACTTGGGTCCACCACTGATTTGCAACTCTTTTCACCAATTTTGGGAGACCATCAAAATCAGGTTCTAAACAATTACTTCTTATTATTATTTTAAATTTGTTTGCAAATATATTTCTAGAGCATGAGACTATTACTATTTTAGAGAAATTTGAAAATTGATTAGTTAATGTAATAACTAATAAATGGGTTATTTGATAAATATTTTAACTTGTGAAATGGTGATTTTATAGATTTATAATTTATTTTTTATTTTCCTTGATTAGTTTCTTATTTGGAGTTAATGTAATGATGAATAGAGGGCCATTTGACATATACTTTTAACTTTTAAATTATTCTTGTATGGATCCTTTTGTCTAATTAACTTGATTAGGTTCATATATTGTGATTAATGATTTGATATAGTAATAAATAAATAAGTTGTGATTAATGATTTAATAAATAACTTTAACTTGTAAAATAGTTCTTGGATAGATTATTAGATTTTATTGTACATTTAATATTTTAATTGGATTAGTATCTTATATATTGATTTTGATTTCTTTAGCTATGGAGAGATATTTCAAAAGGAAATCAATGGAAAAAGAGTCATCTAATAAAGAAGAAGCCAAGGATAATGAAAGTACAAAAAATGACAATAAAAGAAGTTACTTGGAAATTAACTTAGATGAATTACCTGCGGATCCAGCCCAAAGAAAAAAAATTGGGGATTATCATCCAAACCTTCAAGATGAAATTCGGAGATATTACTTACAAAAGGGACCATGTCAACCTCATGAGCATGTTTTTCCACAAAGAAAGATAGGAAAAAAGATGCGTCGATTTGTTCGGGGCTGGTTTGATGATTACAAGAATTGGTTAGAATATAGTATTGAAAAAGATGCCGTTTATTGCTTATGTTGTTATCTATATAGACCAGATGTGGGTGAACAATCTGGTGGTGATAGTTTCATTAAGGAAGGATTCACAAATTGGAAAAAAAAAGAATAGATTTGATGTTCATGTTGGTGGTCCTAATAGCGCACACAATCTGAGTTGGAGTAAATGTCAAAGTTTATTAAATCAAAATCAGCACATCGAAGTGGCATTTTTTAAGCAATCAGAGAAAATGAAGGCTGAGTATCGGACTCATTTATTAGCCTCAATAGATTGTGCTAGATTTCTCCTACATCAAGGTTTGGCTTTTCGTGGTCATGATGAATCTGATACCTCTGAAAATCAGGGAAATTTTCTTGAACTTTTGCACTTCCTTGCGGGTCATAATGATGATATAAAGAAGGTTGTTCTTGAAAATGCCCCTAAAAATCTCAAACTCATTGCTCCAGATATTCAAAAGGGTATTTCAAATGCTTTGGCAAGTGAGACTACAAGCATTATTGTAAATGACATTGGACATGGATTGTTTGCTATTTTATGTGATGAATCTCGTGATGCATCAACAAAGGAGCAATTAGTAGTTGTTATCCGTTACGTGGATTCACATGGATATGTGATTGAGCGTTTTCTTGGTATTCTACATGTAAGAGATACTACTGCTCTTTCACTTAAGAAAGCAATTGATGATTTATTTTCAAAGCATGGTTTGAGCATATCACAAATCTGTGGTCAAGGTTATGATGGTGCTAGTAACATGCGAGGTGAATATAATGGTTTAAAAACTTTGATCATGAAGGAAAATGATTCTGCATATTATATTCATTGTTTTGCACATCAGCTGCAATTGTCACTTGTAGGGGTTGCAAAGAAACATGTCCAAGTCTCTTCTATGTATAATACATTGTCTACCTTAGTGCATGTTCTTGAAGGTTCATCTAAAAGACAAGAAATTCTTAGAGAACAACGCCTTAAGAAAGTCGTTGATGATCTAATGACTGGAGATCTTGTCAGTGGTCGGGGCTTAAATCAAGAAACTAGCCTTCAAAGAGCTTGTGATACACGTTGGGGTTCACATTTTGGCTCGTTGTTAAAGTTGGTTCTTATGTATGATTCTGTAATAGATGTTCTTTTGATAATTGAAAATGATGGCCTGGTGGAGCAAAGAGGTCAAGCATATGCACTTCTTAATTCTTTGCAATCTTTTGAATTTGCATTTATTTTACACTTGATGAAGAAAATCATGGGAATAACGAATGCACTATCTGAAGCATTACAAAGGAAGGATCAAGATATTGTGAATGCTATGGGTCTGGTCAAAGTTTCCAAGCAACAGTTACAAGCTACTAGGGAAGATGGATGGGATTTTTTACTTGATGAAGTTTGTTTGTTTTGTGAAAAACATGAGATCATCATTCCGAAAATGGATGAAATGTTCATTACTAGTGGGAGATCTCGAAGAAAAGTTCAGCAAATTACAAACCTTCACCACTATCGAGTTGAGCTATTTTGTGCTGTCATAGATTTACAATTCCAAGAACTCAACAATCGTTTCAATGAAATCAATATGGAGTTGCTTCTGTGTATGGCATGCTTGAACCCAAGTGATTCCTTTGCAGCATTTGATAAGAAAAAGTTGATTCGTCTTGCAGAACATTATCCTTGTGAGTTTTCCAAGTTGGATATTCTTGCACTTGACACTGAATTGGATACTTATATTAATGACTTGAAATCAGCTAAGGAATTTCTCGATTTAAGAAAAATCTCTGATCTAGCTCAAAGGTTGGTGGAGACTAAGAGAGATATTGTGTATCCATTGGTTTATATGCTCTTAAAGTTGGCTTTGATTTTGCCTGTTGCTACAGCTACAGTAGAAAGAGCTTTTTCAGCTATGAATATAGTGAAGAATCGGTTACGAAATAGAATGAGAGACACTTGGATGAATGATTGTTTAGTTACTTATATTGAGAAAAATATACTTCGTGAAGTTGAAAATGAGAAAGTTGTAAACCGTTATCAAAATATGAAAACTCGTCGTGAACAATTGTAAATAATTTAGTTTGTTTTTAAATAAAATTATTATTACATTAATAATTTTGAGTTTGTCTTTTTATGTTTTTCATGGAATATACATATCATTTGTACTTGTTAGTGAATTTATTTATTTTTTGCTCAAAAAATTAAAAAAAAAGAGTAGATAAAAAATTTTAGTGTTATTTTTGCCCCCACTGAGATTTTTTTCTGGCTCCGCCACTGATGTTAGGCAATCATTTGCAATATATCCTTCTACAATCGAGCCTTCAGGACGAGCACGATTGCGGACATACTTTTTAAGGGATCCGAGAGATACCTTTTCAAAAGCAAGAGTTAATTTTCCACCCAAAACAGAATGTTACATAAATAACAAAATTTTTAGTCAAACAAATAAGGAAGATGTACCTTGCAAATGGAAACATCCACCTAGTATGTACTGGCCCACCAAGTTTTGCTTCCTTTGGCAAGTGAACAATCAAATAGATCATAATGTCAAAAGAAGGCAGGGGGAAAGATTTTTTCCAGCTTACATAATATTAATGGAGCATTTTTCTCCAACCTTTCCAAGTCATCCATCTTCAGGGTTTTAGAACACAAATCTCGAAAAAACTCACTTAACTCAAAAATTGTCTCATTGACTTCTTTACACAAATACCCACGAATGCTTGCTGGAATAAGTCGTTGCAAGAGGACATGGTAGTCATGTGTTTTAAGTCCTATCAGTTTACCATCTTTAACACACTTAGAAATGTTTGCAGCATACCCATCAGGAAACTTAATTGAACCCAAAAAATCACAAAATCCTTTTCTCTCACTTGAAAACAGCACATACAAGGCTGGAGGCTTTGTTTTCCTTTTACCATCATCATGTAAGTATAGTTCATGTCTTATTCCCATGTCAAGCGAGATCATCACGAGCTTTATTAGTATCTTTTGTCTTCTCAGGAATGTTCAACAATGTTGCTACTAAACTTTCACATGTATTTTTAAGGATATGCAACACATCTAGGCAATGCCTCATTGTGAGTTTTCTCCAATATGGTAACTCAAAAAATATACTTTTTTTCCTCCAATTACCCTGAATTTTGTCAACTCTTTTTTTCCGAGCAACTAGCTTCTTACCAAACTCACCAAAGACACCAGCCAAGCAATTTAAATGTCTTAAAACATGTTCTCCAGAAAAGTCCTTTGGCTTGGAGCGTGTTTCAATAGTTCCTTCAACATGAGCTTTTTGCTTTCGCCAAGGGTAGTCATGGTTCAAAAAGTGACGATGTCCCATGAAACATATTTTGCCTCTTAGTCTTTGTGAAGCAGTATCATCAAGACAACATGGACATGCTTTATACCCACTAGTGCTCCATCCAGACAAATAGCCATATGCGGGGAAATCTGATTACTCCATAAAATTGCTGCACACATTTGAAACTTTTGTCCATTATATGCATCATAAGTGTTGATTCCATGAAATAAATCTTTCAAATCATCTATTGCTAGCTTTAAGAACACATCTAACTCCTTTCCAAGGGCATGTGGACCAGGAATAAGAAGTGATAGAATAAGATATTCCTTTCTCATAAATTTATATGCAGGCAAATTGTAAGGTACAAAAATAACTGGCCACATGCTGTATGAGTTGCTCATGTTACCAAATGGATTGAATCCGTCTGTGGCCAATCCAAGTCTTACATTTCGAGAATCTTTAGCAAAATCAGGATATTGTTTATCAAAATACTTCCAAGCAATAGAATCAGCCAGATGTCTCATGATACCTTCCTCTTTAACCTGTTTCCCCTCATGCCATCTCATGTCTTCAACAGTTTTAGAAGACATAAAAAGTCTTTGCAACCTAGCTTTTAATGGAAAGTACCACATCACCTTTTGTGGAACTTTCTTCTCCTTGCCATTATTGACTTTCCATCTTGATTCTTTACAAATAGGACACTTGTCCATCTTTTCATTTTCGTTCCAAAACAATGCACAATCAAATTTACAGACATCAATTTTTTGATACCCCAAACCTATACCAGATAGAATTTTCATGGCCCCATAAAAACTGGATGGAAGTATTTCTCCTTTTGGTAACACATCTTTTAAAAATTCCAGCATCATGTCAAATGCCTTGTTAGTCACATGATTCATCACTTTGATGTGGAAAAAGGAAACAATGAAATGTAGTAGGGAGTACTTTCTGCATCCCGGATAAAGTTCTCTTTGTGCATCATTTAACAATTTGTCAAAATTTTTTGAATCCCATTCACTCGATATCCCTGATTCATGTGCATTTTTTATCTCATCCAACAAATCAGGTAACTCATCAGATTCACCATTTTCATTCATATCAAAGTCATTATATACAGTTTCATTGAGGAAATCTGTCTCACCTCCAACACCATTCTCATCAAGATTATTGTTCTTTCCACTTGACATATAAGAGTGTGTAGAAAATGGTTCCCCATGGAAGACCCAATTTTTATAATACATACAAAAGCTTTTTTCTGACAAATCTGATTCAACTTGAGAAATGCTTTTTCTCTTTGAATTCCTATATCTCCTACATGGACAAAATAATTTTCCATCCAATCCCATACCATTGGTCTTCGCAAATTCAATAAAATCCTTAAGACCAGACTTATAATGACTTGACAAAATATTTGGATCATTTATCCAGCTTTTATCCATTTCCGATACCTAGAATAAGAAAAGTCTTAACTTACTAAACTCAAGGCATTGTCAAGATGAACAACTCAAAAAGGAGGAAAGACAATTTCTAGATATAAAAAGATAAAGAAGGCAAAAAAACATAGAATTATTGTTTGACATAAAGGCCATTCAAATGTTGATTGAAATTGCAACCCATAATGACAATTATGAGAGCTAACTAAACCAGAAATGAATGCAAAGAAACAAAAAAAAAAAAAAGAAAATCAGCAAGTTTGTAAATTGCTAATTAGTCTACCCAAGGTGTTAGAACACAGGATATGAGTTATTTCAACATCCAAAAATGAATGGCAGAAACTAGTAACTAATCAAACAAAAGATATTTGGTTCCATTAACCATTTCTGAATTCAGCCATTTTTGCCTCCATTCTATTGATCTTTCTGAGTAGACCCGGTATAATCATTGTAGATCGAGCGCACATTTCATCATCTATCCAACCCCAATAGCAACATCCATCCTTCAAAAATAAACAAAATCATTATGTTTCTTACACAATAACAAATTAAGTATCTAGAAAGATGTTACAAACATCCCCTAATGGGCATTTGGCAATTCTTCTTCCCGAATTTTGTGCAGTCCATGAAGTTATCATTACTATCTTAATCCCACAAACACAAGTAGGTAGATGAGGCATCGATGTAGGCAACATGGATCTTGCTGGCACGGCTCTTGATGGCTTTGAGCTTGGTCATACTTCCTCTAATCCAAGTTGGGCTTCTTCCATTTCCTTCTCTCTTGTTGCAGCAGTAGCAGAGCCTTCTTTAGGTTTATACTATAAGAAGAAGAAGATGCATGTTGAACTCCCTAAATTGACCCTTTCTTTTGTCTTGAAAATCGCACGAGCAGACAGATCGGCAAACTTAATGACTAAATCTAACAGAATGGCCTCGAGTCTTAACTTTATACATTTAGTGGCCAAAACCAGATTTTTAATAGTTGAGTGATCAAAACTCGATGATTGCAAAAGTTTAGTGGCCATCTGGATAATTTGCTAAAAAAAAGGATTTGTATTAGATTTATTGGCATGGACCACTTAGTTACTAGCTAGTTGGATTAGTCCATGTCCAAGAATAAACCAATCAAAAACTTGATAACTTAGAAGATAGGATCCACACGCTTGTGGTTGGATTAGTCCATGTCCAAGAATAAACCAACCAAAAATTGATAACTTACAAAATAGGATCCACACACTTTGCTAAGTAGATGAGCTTGCGATTGTTCTTCAATAAAGTGGACTGGTACACACATTAAAAAGAAATTTAAACTTTGTTTCATGAAAACTCTTTACATTGTTTATATGAAGCGTAGAGATTTTTTCATACAAGTAGGTTTAGATAAATGTCATATTATCACTGTTTAAATTTTGAATTCAATTTTTCCTCATATGTCATATATTTACACATGTTAGTATAAAAAATCTTTACAGTAATAATGTATACAACATTAATGTATAGTTGTGTATATCTATACTTCTTTATGTCGTGAAAACCTTGTTTAACACATTCAATGAGACTCAATAAACTCTTTTTATTTTGACTTGATAAATTTTTAATAAGCATAAAAGTTTGGGTGGTTTTTAAACTATAAAAAGATTGAGGCCAAAAGAGGAATAAACAGATCAAGAATTTCAAATGTGCATTTAAAATTAGGAGAAGCAAAGAAAGCCAAAATAAAGAGCCTTTAAAATCTTGACTGCCACATAAAATGCTCCATGTTGGGCAGAAATTTCGCCAACGTGTTGGGTCTAAGTCCATCCATCAATGGAAATCGTGACCTACTATGGAAAATTTGTGCTGAATTCATGGAAATTTTGATTCTCTATCAGTTAGTTGTGAAATTGATTTTTCAATTTACGATCCTCTCTTTTGTAATCTAAATTAATTTAAAATTTTTTGTTAAAATCACTAAACAATTAGTTGTGAAATTGATTTTTTGATTTACGATCCCCTCTTTTGTAATCTAAATTAATTTAAAATTGTTTGGCATAAAATCATTAAACGGATTGGAAATTTGTCACATACCTTAAAGTTGATAGGTCAACGTTAAAGAAGCAAGCAAGTAAATTAGGTTTCCATGAGAATAACAAATTCTAAAGCATGAGGGACAAAATTAATACTTAAAAAAAAATAGTCCACAATGCGTGTTGGATGGCTACCAAAAATGGTGCACACTTTGTGAAAAAAAAAAAAGCTTTGTACAGACTTTGATTTTTCTTTTTCTTTTTTATTTTTTTTGTTCCTGTTCCTTGTCAAAATTTGATCATTTAAAAGTTTACGTCATTGAATAAGATATTTGAGCATTCAAAAAACATTTTATACATAAAGTCAGTTGCATTAGTGTGACAAACACGTTAATTGGATGACCTCTATTAGTTTCTCCCAAAGGACATGTACGTATGAAACTCCTTTTTCCTTTTTGACTTTTTTGAGCTAATCCAAATTTCTCTCTGCAATGAAGGCGTTCTTTGACATTAATGTGAATCATAAAGTGTTGCCTTCAAGAAAAAAAATAGATCAGCAACTTGGAGTGAAGATATCAAATCAAGAAAAACGAAGAAACTTGTTTGGACATCAATTTTTCAAAGAAAAATTACTACGTTTTTCATGAACATATTTTCCAATCACCTTTTTACTTCACATATATCAAATCGTTACAATAATTTTTCTAGAAAAAATCTAGAAAAATGCAATCCAAACAAAGCACGTTGCCTTCAAGATCAGGAAGTCCATGTGTAGCATTTCAAAGGGGTTAGGATAATAGGTTTAGGGTTCCAATACTCACTATAAGAAATTTGGCCTTTTGTGACAACATTCTCTGTGACAAGAGAGAAAGCTGTCACAATTGAAAACTTTAGTGACGACCTTTAATGTCGTCATACTTGATCGTGGGTTCACCCGTCAACAGTGACAATACGGAATAAGTCGCCACAATATGGATAACGCACAACTATCCAGTGTGGTGGGAGATTACCATTGTGACGACTGGAAAACATGTTGTTACTGAAACTCGTCTTACAATGACAACTTGAAATATCGTCACAATATGGTTGTCAGTTCTAAATTACTGACAACAACTAGTCGTCACTATCCAAAGCATTTATTCCCATCTCACTTTTACTAATTCTACCATGTCACCCTAATTTTTTCAATATGACCCATATGTTGTAAATAAATTTTATTAATTCTACTATGACACCCTAACTTTTACATTTTGGCCCTATATACCACCTTAATTTTTTTAGTATGGCCCATGTGTTGTAAATAAATTTTATTAATTTTGTGATGACACCCTAGCTTTTACATTTTAACCCCATATACCACCCTAATTTTTTCTATATGGCCCATATGGTGCAAGTAAATTTAATTAATTAAGTTATGACACCTGAACTTTTATATTTTAGCCCCTTATTTGGTAAACTAATCTCATTAACTCTACCATGACACCTTATCTTTTGCAATTTAGTCTCGTATGTGATAAAGAAAGGTTTTATTAATTCTATTATGGCACCCTATGCTTTTACACTTTAGGTTGTGTTTATCATTAGCAAAATGACGAAGGTATTGTAAAAAACAATGTTTACCTATTTTTTTAATTATTCCAATCATAGCAAATACACTGTTATAAAGTTAAAAAAATATCATGAATTCATTATTTAGTTCTCTTGACAACATATGGGAAATTACTGATTAATATAGTTTGAAAATAATGGAAGAAAATAATAAAATTTAATATGAAATTAAGTAAAAATCTTGACAATTCCATGACTGGAATTTGTTATGTATTATAATTTACAATAATCAAATTGTTTATGGTTTATGAATCAATACATGTATCAAATAGATTTAGTGTTTCATGCATGTATTAGTAAACCATTTTGGTTATTTGATCAACTAGTTTATTATCAACTAGTAAACCAATTGGATGAGTAGAGTTTATTATTAATTACAATAGTCACATTGTTTATGGTTTATGGATCGGTACTTGTACCAAAAACATTTAGTGTGTCATGAATGTATTAGCAAACTATTTTGGTTATTTGATCAACTAAACAGTATTGTTAGGTCTTGTCAAACCATAATTCGTACATAATTCATAAAATTATTAAATTAATACCAAAAATATTTACATTAAAAGATTTTTTTTGAATCATGAACATATTTTTAATAAGCTTTTTAGTTTTTGGACATTAATTTTTTGTAGAGATAAAAAAAACCTGTGTTAGTAAACAAAATTATCCAAAAACACTAAATTTTCATATTCTAAACTTTTAATGCAACAAATAAAGTTTTAATACAACTTGTGAGCTAAAAACTCAAAATAAAAAACAACTTTAATTACACAAAGATGGAGAAAAGAAAAAAGATATACTAGAGAAGGCATTGTTTTTATAAAGAAAGGTCCAAATAGTTAGTACAAAAGTCACCTGAAAGCGTTTTTTGGCTGAAGCTAAAATGGAAATGGGAAGCTCAAAATTGGAGTAGAGGCGGGTGAAGCTGAAATTTGGAGTAGAGGCGGGGGAAGCTAAAAATTGAACAAAATTGAACGAGTAGAGACGGGTAAACAAAAGAAGCAGAAACGACGTCATTTTAGCAAGAGTTAAAACAAAAACACTCGTAACACTTAGAAAAATTTCGGACAAAACTTGCTTTCCCTCTTCTTGCCAACTTCGGACACTACATCTTCTCCTTCTCTCCACTATCATTTTGCTGAAATTATCCAGAAAATCATATTAGCCCACCATTTTCATCCGTAATTTGAGCTACCCAAAAGATTTGTGTAGCTTTAGTGGAGTTGTAGATAGCAAAAATCCCTAATTCCGCCGCCGCTGTCCCTGTAGTTACCGTTATCCCTCTTGAGAATGAAATGGAGGCCGACGCCAACTCCCTCCCTCTGCCTGACGTCATGAAAGCCCCAATCCGGCCAGACATCCTCCAAGACGTTCATCGCGCGACATCTCCAA